TATTATTTTTCAATACATGCACGAGTGCACGCATGGTTGTATGGATCAAAGTTATAATAAATTAGGTTATTACAAAAAGGTAAAGTAGATTTTGATTAAAAACCAGAATTTCTCCCATACGTGTATTTTGATGGAAAACTCAATTTTTCAGTCTCTAGAGAGAAGTAGTAGTGTCCTATTTACTGATGGAGTCAAAGTCTCAACAAGGGAAGGAGAGGTGAGTATCTTCAGTTTCATGTTAAAAAAGGGTGCTCTGTTGTTTGAATGCATTTTTGATGCAGTGTTTTGAAATGAAAACCAAAGCAATCATGATGGCAAATGAAAGAAGTAAAAAAAGGAACAAGAAAGCAATGAGTTATTGGCAATGGTTATGGGACAGAGTGGAGTCCAATTTGATCTGTAATCCATTTATCAATCATGAGTATGATTACAGAACAAATTGGACGACACAAAGTCCTGTTACCGATTAATCATGATCAGTACCATTTCCAAAACAAAACAAAAAATACATCTAGGAAATATCTCTGGTTGAGACAATGTCTTACTGAAATAAAAAATTCCTCCATTTTGGAAATTCCCCAGTTGTTTTAGGATAGGTGGTTGTTGCTATGGTCATTGTGATAAATTCTGTGATTGGTGGATTTAGCTAAGTGGACTTAGAACGATTGGCTGCTTTAACTGTCCAATTATAGGATGGTACACGATTACAGCCAACTGTCCAATTACACCATCCGATTACAGCTCTACAGAAAAATAAAGCAGCTGAAATGTGATAAAAATTTGTTCAGGGGAAAGCTTAGTGGGCTTCTTCCAGGACATCCCCTTGAAGGCCTTTTGTAAATCAGTTTATGTTACAAGCTGTGGTTGTGGGCCTCACTGTAAAATTTCAATTCATATTTTTTTGCAGTTTTGCTTCTCATTGTTGCTTCATATAACAGAAACATTTGGTCTCATGGAGCAGCTTGCTAATCTGGCCATGCGACAGTAAGAAATCATTTAAAGTAAAATATATTTTTTTAAAGTACACCATGAGGCTTACATGAAGGATGATGTGTCCTTCAGGGTTAGTTTCTGCATTCCCACTTATAAACAAACATGATTTGTATATTATACATTCTGGTCTGGAGGCAGTTTGTCTTTTTCTGAATGATTCACAAGTTAGAAGAATTTATTCAGCAAGAGCTGAGAGAAAAATTTGAAGCTCGAGAACTTTTTGCATAATGACATGGTTCAATTTTGCTAGGTATCATTTGATTCAAAATTTAAACTAGACAGGTGATAGTGATTGGGGGAAAGGTAATTGTTTAAAATGATTATTGTGTTAACTGCTTTTGAATTCTTTTTAGCATTGCATACTTGTGCTTTTGTATGCAAGAGAGGATCTACTTGCTGTAACCTTTTGCGTTTGACAGTCTATGATTTATTGTTAATGATATATTAGAGTTATTTTCATTTCTTACGTTGTCTTTTTCATACATGTAGGTTGCTGTCAGAAGAAGGTTACGAGGAGGACAAGACATTACCTTTACTCACAAAGTAAGTAACTAAATGTTTTGTTCCCATTGCTTTGGATTGTTCATCAAAACTAACACTTCATATGACATTTTATCTTGGCAAAACGTTTTTCTTGGTGTTTGAATTCCTCAAACCAATTTTTATGTGTTACCTTTGTCTGAAACAAAAGAAAATTAAAATCAAACTGGTCTGCAAATGTTTACGCTTAGAATTTGAGGTGCAAGTTGTACACAAGGAACTCAGGCCATGTGAAGGGTAAATAACGCTGTCCATGAGATAAATCTCCATCTAGTGGATAGCCTGTTATACTTTTGTTAACACTTATTCGTTAAATGGCTATTCATTGGTTGGATAGTGTTATCTATCCAACTGGGTCCAGCCAATTAATTTTATGTAACACACAGATCATTACTGTGGGAGATGCTGTAAGCCAGATTAAAGGAGACCACCTTTCATCATTCTGTAATATTTTGATCATCAGTTGTTGCTATTTGAGAATTGATGTTTCATTAAGCTTGCACATGAACAAAAGCTTTTTTTAGTGGCTTAACCCTTAAATATCCATGAATGACTCAGCATAAAAGGGTGAAGCTCGGCTGAGCTTTTCAAAAGGCATAGCAATCTTCTTTTTTGTGCTTGTTACATATGGGCATACACATATCTGTGCCACAGTACACTGACACGTTGTGTGCTGTGCCACTGGATACAGTATGAGCTCATGTTGTCATCTTTTGGTTTGGAGTCATGACATACAAATTGAGCACAGTGAGGTCAAAATATCAGGGTCAAGAAAGGAATATGTTAGTATCAACACACTAAATCAGAGAGCTTGTTGGGCCATATGGCTTTTACGGCACTGCTTGTGACATCAAGTGTGACCCTCACACTTGATTTTTTATTATTTGTCAATACATGCACAAGTGCACACAAGTATGTACTCATGTTGTCACCTTTTTTCCTGAAATTCTGTAAAGGTTCAAATTTGTGTACTTGAATAGATACACTAAAAATTCCTAATGATGTCATCAACTGAGTGCGTTTGGTTATAATACATGTAAATGAATGTTTAGTCATTAACTGCTATACTGCTAGTCTTGGCCAGGCATGTATGTATTAAACAGTTGTTATATTTTAATTGGCCAATCATAGAAATAGAGGAAAACAAGTGAAAAAAGTACCTTCTCTGAAGAGAGATTTGGATGCCAGAGCACAGAGTGAATTTTACAGGTAAATTAGGAAAACGAATTTTTTTGTGGCATTTTTTTTACATGAATGTTAGATTGTTGTCAATCAGCAGGGGGTAGGTGTGAGTTTTATTTATGAGGGGGGTGCTACATAAGTATGTTGCTTGCACCAAAGGAATCCCTCCCCCATTTCTACCCGCCCCCTCCCCTGAAGGTATGCCATTGTTAAGACAACTTGTTTTATCTTCAGAAACTTGTTTCGGCTGCCTGTAGAGGAGAAGCTTGATGGTCATTGTGAATGCACATTGTGGAGTCCTCATGAAAAGGCTCACGAATGGGGAACACTGTACTGCTCTCCAAACTACCTCTGCTTTAGCAGCAAGGTGAGACAGAGGACATGATCTATACACCTTATTTGATGGTGTATTTAACAATTATTCCACGAGCGCGCGCTGGATATGAGATGATAGATAGCCAACGAGGGGCGTAGCGCCGAGTTGGCTATAATCATCTCATATCCAACAAGCGCGAGTGGAATAATTGTTTTATTAAAAACGCCCCCAAGAAATCATTATTTTGTAAGAAAAAACCGGATTTTTTAGCTCCCTTTTGATTTTAAGCTGACGCGTACGCATACCATATTTGTAGATTATGGTATATTGGCTGATATACCATGATGGCTAAGCCAATAAAAAGTCTTGAATTGCATTATCCAATGATCCAGTTTTTAATAATATGTAATACGCGCGATTATTTTGCGAGTTCTGTTATAAATCCGAGCGAAGAGCCGAATTTCTACTCGTATTATGGGTTAAACCAATCAAATAATGGATTTATTTTTCTATCGTTATTTTGTTTTCTAGTGTTTTAGGTTTACAATGTATCGGAGCATCTTACCGATTTCGTAGGCGCTAACAAAATACGGAAACAGCTCAAGTCCAACCTTTGCAATGTTCTTCGTCATCAAAAAGGAAATTAATTTTGTTGCGCTTTAAAGTTTGTATGGTAAAAAGTCAAGCCGAAAAATAAAACAATAAAAGATTCAAAGGTTTGCTCGTTCAGCGAGGCCATTTTGTTGCTCTACTTTCCGTCTGTATTTTTTACGTTGTCTACAGTGTAATACCATGGCATTTAATTTGCGCGTTCTTTTGGCCTAATAATTTTTTTATGGTAAAATGGCGAAGAAGTGGAATAACGATGTGGTAGAAAGTCAGTGGTAATTATTTTGTGAGAGGTAACAAGTATTGCTTTGTTGATCCTTTAGGTAAGACAGTTACTTTCGGTGGTGATTCCAATGAGAGAAATTGCACTGGTTGAAAAAGTGGAAACCTCAGCTATAATACCAAATGCAGTACACATCACAACCAAATCAAAGGTGAGGGCCTTTATTTGAATTATTATATTATAAAACAGTGAATAGCTTTGAAAGCGCACTCAGATTGGCTACTCAAACTCCTAGTATCCTTTTCTGTTTACTTCAGACCAATGTGCACGAGATTTGCACCCGCAAATGTTGTAATTGTGGCAGGAATAAATTAGTTAAAACCATCTTTTTGTGTTTTTATTATCTCACTTTTTCGTTATATACTAAAACAACCCTTGGTCTCAGTGTCTGTGGCTAGCGGGGGATATTAATTTTACCCGGCTGCTTTGCGGTTTGGTGAATGTCACTACTAGCCACCACCACTTTGTTGAATAGTCTTTAATTATGATGCATTCGCAACTTGTTACGTCCTCGAAAAGTGAATTTTGTAAGCACCTATTTCTCCAAAGTGATTTACACTGAATTATAATTATGGCAACCAAAAGGGAGAATATATCCAGTCGTATTAAAGGATGAAGGGAAAAAATATAGTCAGTGGATTTTTTCATTTTTATTTTGTACTGTACTTCAGTACTGTGCTTAAGAGAAACTGCAAGTTGTTCAATCTCCTTTCTTATTTTTCTTCGCAGGCTAACTTTTTGTTTGCTTCTCTGCAAGACCGAGACTATCTGACGAGACTAATTTCTGACTTCTTAGCAAAGACTCCAGAGTCGAAGTGAGTTTAACGAAGGCTTGTTTAAAGCAAAATGTAGTTTATTTTCATGTACGGTTATGGTACCTGTAAAATTATCTTAAGTGGACTGTGCCACTAACTTAGATACATGAATCTTGTGCTTCTGTTTGAAAAAAGATCCATTGATAAAGGAGACTGGGACTTAAAGGGCACCGTGAATACCAAGGCGACGTTTCAGCCACCTCTAACCACGGTGTTCTCTAACACACCCGCTGACCATGTGAATGCCAAGGAGACTATCAAAGAACATTTGTGGCGACTGCATTTCTCAGACTATGGAAGGTAAAATCAGATGATGATAATTCTCAGTTAGTAGATGCGCTCTATTAGCTAATTTAGCGGGCCGTATTTCACTGTACGGTCCCCTTATTCAAAAGTTTGTTTCAATAATTCTCTCTCTCTCTCTCTCTCTCTCTCTCTCTCTCTCTCTCTCTCTTTCTATTACAACATACCTCTTTAAGACTTCTCGTTCTATACAGCAAATTGTGTCCAAATTTATGCCCAAGTGCGAAACGCGCGTCTCATAAGTCTGTGAAGGAAAAATTCACTCCGTAGTCAACAATACGGACCTCGAACTCGGTCAGTACGAGGTATATACTACCCTTAATTTTTTTCGAAACGAAATGTTTCTCTATTCAATGACAGTCCTTAACTTTTCTTCTTAATCTACAGGAGTCACTTACACGACACTCAGAAATTGCGGATTTTAACATAGCCGTCAGAGACGGGCATAGGGACCTCCAATTTCAACCCCCAGTCTCTCTCGTCTTCCAGAAGGTGGAAAGATGAGGGTCACTGGAAACGACATTGTCTCAAATCCAGTCATCTTATTGATATTTTTCAGAGGTGTTTGTATGTATCGCACGGTCAAGACCCAGGATTTGATACTCAAAGGAGTTCCTGATAGTCTGAGGGCTGAAGTATGGTTAATATTCNAAAAGTTCGTTTCAATAATTCTCTCTCTCTCTCTCTCTCTCTCTCTCTCTCTCTCTTTTTCTATTACAACATACCTCTGTAAGACTTCTCGTTCTATACAGCAAATTGTGTCCAAATTTATGCCCAAGTGCGAAACGCGCGTCTCATAAGTCTGTGAAGGAAAAATTCAGTCCGTAGTCAACAATACGGACCTCGAACTCGGTCAGTACGAGGTATATACTACCCTTAATTTTTTTCGAAACGAAATGTTTCTCTATTCAATGACAGTCCTTAACTTTTCTTCTTAATCTACAGGAGTCACTTACACGACACTCAGAAATTGCGGATTTTAACATAGCCGTCAGAGACGGGCATAGGGACCTCCAATTTCAAACCCCAGTCTCTCTCGTCTTCCAGAAGGTGGAAAGATGAGGGTCACTGGAAACGACATTGTCTCAAATCCAGTCATCTTATTGATATTTTTCAGAGGTGTTTGTATGTATCGCACGGTCAAGACCCAGGATTTGATACTCAAAGGAGTTCCTGATAGTCTGAGGGCTGAAGTATGGTTAATATTCTCTGGTGCTATCAATCAGGTACTAGTCGTTACAACTGCTGGAGGTGATGCTTTATTTTTTAGATGATATTTTTATTTGCAGTGATACTTTGATTTTGTCTTTTCTGGCTGCTTAGTTTTGCTTTAGTTTTGTATTTACGACACTGTCTCATACGAAATGCGCTCAACCATGAATTACCTATTTTTCATCTTCCCTTAAAGCCAAACCAATACCAAGCATGCAGGGCCCTTTTGTTTAAATTTTGTCGTTGATTAACATAAATTCCTTACTAAGCAATCTTCAATTTAGCTGGACATTTTATCTGAACATTTCTTATTGCGAACAGTGTCAGGAGGGGTGAAAGCAAACAGCGGACGGACATTTGTTCAATTTAAATCATCCCTCTAATCGAGTGAGCCTAAGGCCCACTCATTTTCGTGAGGCTGTGGTTTGGGTTAGACCTCGTGTAAATAACCGACTCACAGGGGTGACAGACAGAACCCAAGGTATCGTCTTTATCTAAGAACAAATTCTCCCAATTAACTTACATGGAAATGTATGGTGACTTCCAGGGAGGATTACAGATTAGATCTAAAAGGTTATCTGCTAAACATTTGGAAACCTTGTTTTGTCTCATTCTAAACAGATTCAAACTCATCCTGGTTACTATGCCACACTGGTGGACGAGTGCGAAGGAAAAATCACTTTGGCAACTGAGGAGATTGAAAGAGACCTACACAGGTGAGTGTTAAATTTAATCATTGATAAGCAACTTAGCAAGAGCGTTTCGCTACGGAAAAAGGAAATAATTGTAATCTATAGTTTGTTGTTATACCGTGATACTAACGTGTGCAATTTCGTACAGACTGTTTTCTGATGTGAATCTTTTATTCTTGATGTAGGTCACTTCCTGAACATCCTGCATTTCAATCTGAAGTTGGAATTGCAGCTTTGCGAAGAGTTCTGACAGCTTACGCCTGGAGAAACCCAAGCATAGGTTTGTCTTTAGACGCACACTTGTCGAGGTATCTAATTTTTAGGTGACTTCTCAAACCTATCATAGGCTCACATACATTCTTTGTATGTTGTATATCCTCCAGGGTATTGTCAAGCCATGAACATTGTAGCATCAGTGCTGCTGCTATACTGTACAGAAGAAGAAGCTTTCTGGTTATTAGTAGCTGTATGTGAGCGTCTTTTGCCAGATTACTACAACACAAGAGTTGTCGGAGCACTTGTTGATCAAGGTGATTGTCGGGTTACTGTTGTTGTTATTGTTTNAATAAAAGTGTTGTGCTCAGCTTCCCATGACCTTTCGTTGCAAAAAGCAGCATGGCGGGGAGGGGGGGAGGGGGCTGGAACGATACTTTTAGTGTCGATTAAATAGAGCTGTTGAATGTTACGTAGAAACTACTATCGAGAAACGGTGTATAATGAATTTTGCCGTAGATCGTAGTTCGAATCTCGTTGTATGCATGAGGTCTTTTGTATTTGCGGTTGTCGCTTAGAAATTGATTTCTTTCAGTTATACTGCTAGTTAAAAACTTTAATTTATCTTGCGGTGTTGGTGGTTTGTTAAGATAATCTTTGTTGGGACGTCTTGTTTTATTGCTAATAGAACACTTGTTTTCTGGATGCTTTCAGTGTCATGCCATTTACCAGTGCTGTTAGCATCATAGATTGCTTTTTCTATGACGGTACCAAGGTAAAGAGGACATTTTGTATTCTCAGTGATATATGATAAACATTTTTATTTTCTCTGACCCCACGTTATAACTTATGGTACATCTCTGAGCGATCAACATTGTTTCTTACAATTTTTGTTTTTTAGTTGTTGATAGTAACAATCGATTTTGAGATTGGTAGTGATCCTAAACTCGGTTCTTTTTGTCTTTTTTTATCGTGTTGATTAACAAGAAGAAGTCAGGAGCTTACTTACATTGCAACCTCTCCTTCTTATCATTAAAAAAACAATCTCTTTCTAGGTTTTGTTTCAGGTTTCCTTGGCTACACTTGACGCAAACAGAAACAAGCTTTTAGCTGTGCAAGACGATGGTGAGGCAATGACCGTATTAGGGAATTACCTGGAGCACGTGACCAACAGAGACGCGGCCACGATGACCAATGGCCAAGGAGCTTACAACAGAAACAATGGATCGCCTTCCTCGGGGGTAAATGTATTATCTTTGGAGAGGGGTGACGGAATGGTGTGAATTCGAGATTTCTGCAGTAATTACTTAAAACTTCTCAAATGACCAACACACGACAAAGCTGCAAATAACTAAGGGGCAGTCGCCGGTCACGTTGTCTGGTCAAACATGCTTTTGCTCGGACACTACCCGTTTTTGTCCGGTCAAATTTTAACAGTCGGAACTCTTGCGATAGTGAACCCAGATTGCACAGTAATCCTTTTACAACTCAAAAACAACTGAATCCAAGTCGGTCTGGCAACAAAAATTACAAGTTAATAATTTTTTTCGGTTTTCAGTACAACTCAGAGCCCTTTTTTTAAAGTTACAGTTGTGAAGTTTTGTTAGAGTAAAAGAGTGGTCGGATTCTCCAGGTTTTGGGCCTTTTGCTCGCTTTTTGCACTTTGCAACAAATGCTACTTGGAGTATTCTCGATGCAGCAAGGTTATTCTTCGTGAGGGTGCTTTCCGATCGTTCAATCAATCAAACAATCAATCACTTTATTTAAGAGTAAATTATGGTATTTAGCCAAAGGTAAAACCCTCTACTAACTGGGAACTCTTAAATGAAGTAAATAAAATAACGGAAGACACGATGATTTGCGGTCGCGACAGGACTTGATGACATCGTGGAAATTCGCAACTGCCGGGAATTTCTCGACCACTAATTTGTCTACTTTTATATTGTTTTTTTTTTCTTTCGGAAACATGACTGTTGTCCCTTGTGATTATCAAACGGTTAAAAATTAAAATTTCTTTGAACGAGTCGGTAAAGGACCGGACAATATGTCCGGCAATCCAAGGATTTGTCCTGTCAGTACCCAATTTTGACCGGACATTGTCCGTTGACCGGCCGTTATTTGCAGCCCTGCACGAAGAAGAAGCCAGTCTGTACAGCACGGGGGGGGGGGGGGGGGGAGAACTTTTCTTGCATGAAAATGTTGCTAACAAAACAGTTTATTTCCAAAATGATAACTAGTTAATTGTCCATCACAAAAGTTTTTGTTGTCGCAGGCTTGCCGTTCTCTTCAACAGAGGTGTCAGTCATTATTGTCCATTATCACGCACGCGCAAGGTCGTTTATCGGAGTAGCTTATAATAATAATAATAATAATACTAATGATAATAATAACTTTATTATATACAGAATTAAAAAAGTTGACGCTTATTTACATTGAAGCTGTGTAGCTTTGTCATAAGTATTCGACTTCAGACCGTAGAAGCGCAGAAGCTTCCCAAAGGGATAAGAAATTGTAATTAGTTTATGAGAGCCTTTGGATATTGTTGCTGGTTTGATATTGGACAAACATTTTTGTCGCCCAATTTTGATGCAATTTTGAGGAATCAGAGTTAGCAGGTCAATTCCTGAAAGCTTTAGTCGAGTTGTCCAAAGTACGAGTAGTTCTAATCTAGAATCGAATGTCACTGTTACATGCTTTCTGTGGTCAATTTAGGATCAGTGTCAAGGCCGCGATACGCCTTGCTGTGATATGTCCCGGGTACAAGTTAGTGCTAGAATTTGTGTCGTTTACACGGGAAGGGAGAAGGGGATGATTTCTCTGAATTTTTTTCTGTGACGGAATTTCGTGCCCGTAGCAAATTTTAGGAGGCTTGAATTTGTGCGATGCTTGAAGTTACAAAAGCAAGTCGCTTCAAATTGTCCCCTCCTGTATCGTGTCCGCATCTGTGGGTTTGAGGTCTTGAGTTGGACGTAAATTTGAATTTTCCCCAAAATGAACCATTTCTTACAATTGTAAAAAGAAGTCAAGTAATATTTGACTGTTTTTGTACTTTTAGTACCACAGCACAGTAGATGTAGCCAACCTTATTTTGGAATCATATCAGAAGTTTGGTTTCATCACAGCAGAGACCATCGACTCCATGAGAAATGCGCAGAGACTTAAAGTTGTTCAGGTATGGAGACGCGCCATGGCAGTTTTTTTGTTTATATCGAAAAAGCGGGACATTGGAAACTGAAAAATATCTGTCTTATTTGATTTGTACAAATGTGATTTTAATTATCGCGATTGTTGTTAGTGATTTAAGGAAAATACGTCTAGTCGGAGGCGTTAAGAAATGGGCGCTTTGCGTAAAGTTTCGTGAAGTATGCATGAAATTGAAAATAGATTTACTTTAGGTTGAATTTTGTATTTCTTTTTGGTATTGATAAGGGCCTTGAGGACAGTATGAGAAGAACTGCCGTTAGATCCATAGGAGTGGAAGCCTGTCTGTTTGAGCAAAAGGAACTGGAACAGTTATATGCTGTTTTCAAGGCAAGTCTGGACCAATCGCCATGAATGGTTAACAATAATAAATTTGCTATTGAGTCAAAAAATTTGTTCAAAATGTATTGTTAGTGGTAGGGCAAGAAATTAACCCTTCCAATTCATATCCGTGCCTGCTCTTTCTTCCAGCCGAGGTCAGCGATCTCGTTGACCTCGTTTACAAGGTAGTCTATATTTTAAGTGGTCTATCCCTCGCTAAGATTAGCAGTGTCAAAGTGTTCAGTGACGATGTAAATGGTGAATTTTAATCTTAAGTTAGATAATCAAACTACTTGTCACTTGTGAGAAACAGAGACAGAAGACCTTGGAACCTCTTTGCAGGGGGCACTCTGGGAACCAAGGATAGTGTCCCCTGAATAAAGGTGCTCTGAAGGGAAGGTACCGTTGTACGAGTTCTTGATGTAAGAGAACCAATACGGGATACACTGAAATGGGAAAAGTACAGATCAAAAGCGGGAAATCTTAACGGCCGCACAAAACTGTCTCTTTGATTTGTTTACTTCTTTAAGCGGTTTCTTTTGGAGGTTTTTTTTGTGTTTTTACGTATCTCTCTCGCGCGCCTTATTCGATCGACATACCGTGGGATGCAGTTCGAAAACCTGTGATTAAAATGATAGTGGAGTAATGAACCCGACTTTGGACGGATCAACGTACATTGCACACAGCTCCTATCGCTTGTAGTATAAGTGAAATCTTTGGTTAAGGGTTATGTAAAATCGGTCCAATACAGTTTCACGAAGCTACAGAAAACTCAAGACTATGTAAGCTATATACAAATCTTCTTTAGTCATTCACCTCGTTTCTCGTGTGAATTTATTCTTCAGGCAGGACATATTCTGACACGTAACCATGGCAACCTAGAGATTAAGGATACTCCACCCCAGTTTCCGCTCATACAGAATCAGTGTATTGACTGCGAGAGATTCGCGCCTCTTTTTAAGTGCCTTACGAACTGGGGGACTGGGGAGATTGGTCCTACCTTGACTCAGAGGGCGTTCAAGGTCAGTGCTTTGAAATGATATCTAGGGATGCCGGGAAGCGCTTTAATTGCCGCTTATTGTTGTAGTATGAACGGTAAACTTTTTCGTCCGTTCTCGTGTGGGAAAATCATGTTCATTGTATAGTGGATGGGATCCAAAACTTCTCTTGTTATCCCATGTTATGGAATACGGCTTGCTTCGAAGTGATACCTCAATGTTGTCTTACTGATTGTTTTCTATTTCCATGCTTAGGTGATTGATCAAGATGAAGACGGACTGATTAGTTTCCGTGAGTTTGCGCAAGGCTTGGGTATCATCTGTAAGGGTCAACTCCAAGATCGTATGCAGTTCATGTACCGCATGCACGTCCCTCCTGCCCTGAGTGACGACGACACCGCGCAAGTCAGTGATGAAGAGTCAGTTGACAGCTGTGATGAGCTGACTGAAGGTGAAAGTGTCGAGGACATGAAGACGCAGTCATGTGATCAGCTACCGCCTCGTGATGAGTGCGTCTCGAGGGTTCGAACTAAAGAAGAGTCGCCCGTGAGTGTTTTGTTGAAAACAGCCGCACGAAGTCATAGAACGATGACGGATGAAAACAGTGATAAGAAAGTCAATGAAATTCCACGAATGAGTCAGGTAAATTGAAGTCTTTTAAGTCAATTGTTTTGGGTTATAGTTCAAACTTTAAGCCTCCTGTTTGTTATACACTTGATTACAAATACGTCGGCCCCTTGAAGACCGTAGCACGGGATGATGATACCCGACAGCTAATATTGGAGTATAATTACCCTCTGGGATACCAGATTTCCCCAACCC